TTGTCATCCTCAGTTTGCAATGGAGCCACGAAATGTGCGACTGGGATTATGTTCAGACGGATTTGCTCCATTTGGAAGGTTTGGGAAGAACTATTCATGTTGGCCGGTCATGTTAACTCCTTACAATCTCCCTCCCAAAATGTGCATGAAAAGTCACGGACTCGGTCCGTGACTAATCCGTGACTACACTTAGTCACGACCAATGTTCAGTGACTACATTCTAGTCACGCGGAATTAGTCACGGAACTAGTCACGGACAAAATCTATGACTAAATGTGTTAGTCACGGATTTTTTACACTACGGTCCGTGACTACAGGCGATTTTTTTTTGTAGTGAATCTTATTGGGACGGACCGATAAGGTAAAATAGGACAATCATAGCGAGAAAGAGGTAGTACTAAAATATAAGTCATGGACAAAAATATTAGTACGGTTAATATGCATAGTCACTATGATGTAAAGTTGAACACTATCATGGTCAGTAAAGTTTCTATTATAGTCACTAAGTCATATTTTTGTTCATTACCATCGTTTCGGTTATATATTTGTCATTATTTCTTAATTTTATAGTCAATCGAATATCTAGATTGTGTGACAACCTTTTAAGTGGGACGGATGGAGTATATTTATTTAATTATATTTGAATGTCTATTCTTGTTATTTTCATAATTCTTTATTCCTTAACATTTAAATTTTGGAAGGTATTTATGTTATAAGACTTATAGATTATTTAAGTTTTTAATGAGTGGATTCCAAAATTTAATGGCAAAATTGATCATTATTTCTTTAATTTGAAATCAAGTTTTACGAATGACTTGAAGATTTTTTAAATTTAGTTTGTTTGAAATGATAGTAAATATATTTAGATTGCTATTTGAACAGAGTTTTTTCATCTCTGTATTGGATCTACAACCTTTTAGAATTAAACCTACTTAAAAATAATTCAATTAGATTTGATTTTATTAATTATTAAGATATTTCAATATTTAAAGGGCATCGAAGTAATCCACCATATCTGCAATATAAGATATCTTTTAACCAAATAAATTAATGTTACATTTCCTTAATCTTAACCAAACACAAATGGGAATAAATTGAATACATTCCCATCAATCTAACATACCCAGTAATCTGACATTCTCATGGTAATCTGACATTCCTTGAACCAAACGCCCCATCAGAGGTATGTCTGCACTTTCAGCCAAACGCTTCAATATATGCTTAAGTTCCCTAAAAAAACAGAAGCAATTTTAAGAAGTAGATCCAAGCATCTCTGAGAGGAAAACATGTTAAATAACTTCTAGATTGGACTTACACACATTTATATAGAAGATAAAAAAATCTTTATATTCCGTAATTATAAGCGTCAAATCAAGTAAAAGTAAGGTAGTATTCTTTAAAAAAAGTAAAGTAATTACTAATTAGAAACATGTTTAATACACCAAATCCCCTTGTGAAATATAAATTCGACACGTTAGCCTCTTGTGATTTAAAAAAGGTGTCAAACTCTCTTGTGTTATAATTATTCATTCCCCTAACTTCTTCCAAAAATAAATTTTACAATTTTGAAATCACTTTTGTAAATGATATTATTGAATAGACAAATAACTTCGTCAAAATTTCTAAATTATACAAAAATACTAATCAATTTTAATTTATTTGAGAATTAAATTTATTCATAGAAGGGGTTTTGTGCATGAATAACTATAGCATACGGGAGAGGTTGACGTATTTTTTAAATCAAAGATAATTAGTGCGCCAAATTTGTATATCACGAGCGAGTTTGATGCATTAAACCCTATTCGAAACATTTGCTATTAAAAAGTATCTTTTTTGTAAATGATAGGTTTACTTTGGTGCAAACAAATAAGAAAAAGGTGAAGTTGTTTTGGAAAGGAGGTAGTATAGATTTGTCTAAATAACTAAATACTCCATATTACTGTTTCTGTCCTATTAGGTTTTATCAATTTCCTCTTTTTGTTTTTTTTTTAAAGTTTATCAATTTTTTTTTCGAGTAAATAATTTGTGATTCTACTTACTTCTTTCCTTGCCTAATTTTCAATCATATAATTTTTACTTTTTTAATTTTCACCCATGCACAAACTTGGTAATGTTTAATGGAACGGAAATAATATGAAATAATAAAGAATTTCGTTTTTCAAGATAATGAAAATTTTCTTTAAATATACTTTCATCCCAGCCTCAATTGAATTCATTGTTCGAATTCTAAGTATTTATGCAAAATAAATTTTGATTGACTTTCCGAAATGGTTTGTTTGACTTTTTTGGATGACTTATACCGTGAACTCGAATCGAATCAAAATATCAATTTGCAACTTGATTCGATTCAATATGGTTGAACCAAATGTTTTCAATACTTAAAAGTGCGATATACTATCTTGTTCTTTAATTCTTGCAACAGTTTAACTTTCACGTTTGTCAACATACAATTTTGAATAAAATAAATACGCCATATTTACTATCCAAATATTGAAAAAAAAGTAATCGTGAATTTAGTGCCCGTTTGGTAATTCTATTTTCGGGTTGTGAGGTTTATGAGTCAATTTTTTCATCTAATAGGTAACTTTTGATTTCGTCCGCTGAATTATGTAATACGGAGTAATAAGAAAAATTAAGGTTGAAATTACTTTGGTGACTATATTGATTGAAGTTATTTTAGATAATCATTTTAGCTATTTTTACAGATAATTTATTAATAGCATACAAAGTATATTTTAGATATAATTTTACATAAATCAGTAGAATTAACCAATTTATCTAAAATTTATAAATTTCAATAAAAACAACAAACATATGTGATTTTGATACAACTTTGCTTGATGTACACCAAGATGTAGACAGACAACTTGTCCGGTGGAGATAGACATGTGTACAAAAAAAGTGTACACATTTGGTGTATAACACACATTTTTCATTTTGATATCAGTAAAGGGACTCTTAATTTCAGTACAATTTTAAATATTGAAAATATATCCAGTCAAAAAAAGATGATACTAGTAATACCTATGAAAAGGAATGAATGAATGAATGGATTGAAATGAGTGAAAGGGAGTATTGCAGGTGTTGCCCTACAGATGTTGGGTTTCGGGGTTTACAAAAGAATAAAGTGCGAACTTACACAATCGTTGTTTTCCTGTTGCTAAAGAATCTATTCTGAACTCTTTGCTGTCTCTTGCTGACAAAAACACACTCCACCCCCTTCCACCCACTATTCGTTTTTACCCCTTCTCCTCCTTTTCTTTTTTCAAAACATTGGTCCATAAAATCAAAACCATCATATTTCTAATACTCCCTTTCGTCTTTTCGTCCTGAATGAAATTCACACTTTGACTTTACACAAATTAGAGAAATAAATTTGACTTTATCATAGAGTACACTGTTGTGAAACTATTTGACACTGTTTGACGCTGTTTGTCACTGTTTTGCACTGTACTTATGTAGATAATTTGGCAAATAAGGAAGGGAGAAGAAGTGTGAAGTTTATTTTGGACATATCCAAAAAGAAAAGTGTGAATTTCATTTGGGACCCAAGGGAGTATAATCTGACCTTTTCAAGTGTGATCCACATTCATTTTTAATTTTTTTAAGTCCAGTATAATCTGAGGAAAAATACATACATATGAGTAAAACTCATACAAATTCCTGAACTATTACTTCATAAGTTTCTTTACCATCTTATGACTGAATGTATGACTAAGGAGAATTTTTAGAGACCAAAACACCCTAAAAAATACTACGTATAAACGCACGTAGGCTGGGGAGAAAAAATAGGTTACTTCCTTTTCCTAAGGAGTTTTAATCACAGTGAGGATAAATTTCTCTATAATCTGATCTTAAATGTCATTATTATCTAAATATAGTCTTAATTTTTCTAATTAATCTAATGATCTATTTAAGTCTATTAAAGTAAGTTTCTTGTGGGACTAAAATTTATAAATCACATCCTGAACTAACAAAATTAATTTTTGATAATTTATTCTACCAAGAGATCAATTTTATTGATACAATATTAAAAAGTCTTGGCGAGTAAAAATGGTAAATACTACGTATAAACAAATAGTATCAGCAGGTAAACTACGAATAAATAATGAATCATGTGTACTTAGCCCTAAGTTTGGGAACCTAATGTCATTTCAAAGATTTGATAACCTTTTTCAACGTGAAAGGAACGAAACTAATGCTCCTGAATATTTTAAATAAAGTGCAAAATACGTAGTACGGAGTATTTGTTTTTTCTTTAAACTCGGTCAAACATGCATATTTCGTTGACTTGGCCTTTGGAGCATTAATTGCGCAAATCTATCCTTGCAATTATCATGGATCGCCATTAATCAAAATAACTGCTCCCAAGCCAAATCTACTCACATATTTATCATTTTAAATAAAAATGCTATTTTTTAGACGATTAAATGATACTCCCTTCGATTCCAAAAGATCTTGACACTTTGACTTCACAGTTTTTAAGGAAATAAACACTGTTTGACACTGTTTAGCACTGTTTTGTGTAGATTTATTTGCCAAAAAGGCAAATAAGGAAGTGTAAAGATCTTTCTGATACTGCTAAAAATGGAAAGTGTAAAGATTTTCAGAACCGGAGGGAGTAAAATTTAACAAGTTTTATGGAACATGGAGTATAAAATAAATACATACAAAAAACAAATACTCGCTTCATCCCAATTTACTTAGCCATCTTTGACTTTTCTAGTTAAAAAATAGTAAACTTTGACTAATTATTTAAACTAATATATTTATGCAAAATTTAATAATTTTATACTTTAATGATAGTATTTTTACCAAAGAACATTTTCATATCATTTTCATATTATTAATATTTTCTCTATACGAACATATAATCGATCAAAGTTAGGCTTCATTGACTTGAAAAGTCAAGATTGACTAAGTAAAATGAGAGGGAGGGAGTAAGATACATAAAAAATTAAGAACACAAATGTTTAGAATGGAGCTGGTAAAAATTGCACCTTTTTTTGTTGCCTCTGCTTCTCTTCTTCTCTAAATTTAACAAAAGTCAAACTACACATAAAGTACCGCAGTAGCTAGTTTATAAATTACCAAGAAAAAATTAGAAATTAAGCACTAATAATTAAACATCATAGAAATCAAGCAAAGAAAATAAAAATTAGAAAATTAAAAAATATATTATGATGGAGTGGAGCTATGCGGAGGTGGAGGAGTTATCGGATCTGTCGAAATGGAGGAGTTGACCGCAGCATTTGGGGCAGTCTTTGACCTCTTTCGGGACCATGAAATACATTAGGCATGTTTTGCAACCCGCCACTACCAAAACCGCCGCCGTGGAAGCTTCCTGCCGCCAGGTCTCCTCTGCACGACAGAGGCGCAGAATATCCTTTGAAGATGAAAGCGTTGACTCTTCTGAGGAAGACTCGGCTGTTTCTTCATCCGTGACATTATTATCGTCATAACAATCGTCATCCTCTTCTTCTTCAGAGTACTCTTTTGTGATTCTCGGATCGTCTTTCACTTTCATTCCGGTTCTCCAGTTTATGTAATATACTTCGCCGGTCTGTAACAGATTATACAAAAAGTATTTCGGAAATCAAACTTTTGATCTCATTTCGGGAAATTAGATAATACAAGTAACTGATTTCAAGCTCACCTACTCATTCCATTTCTCATTTCACTTTACCATTTTTTTGCCGTTTTAGTAAATCTAAACTTGCAGATCCTTAGAGAGAGTTGAAGGAAACAATTAAAGGCATGCGAGGGAAAACAAAATCGCATTAAATTCAAACTGAATGTTGAATTAAATGACAACAGAATGAAAGGATCTGCTTCCTTTTCCCTAGACCCGAAGCAATTAATGCGATGAAGAAGATACGGGAGAAGAGAGAAGAAAAAAACGCCATAGATAGATAATTAAGGTTAATTAATGATGAGAATGAGACTATAATTCCTCTGTTAGGTTCCATTTCAGAGTTTCAGATTCAGCACATAAAAGTGTGTTGGCGTGAATCGGAAAATGATGAACTGTAATTACCTCCAAATCAAGGCATTGTTCCCACTGATATGGCATCGAGGTTTCTGAATTGAGGTCCAGAGTGGCGTCTCCTGCCGGCGAAGAAGAGTTTGCAGGCGGCGCATGAGAGAGCGAAGACCTGCCAATAGCGAGCGCGGCAGCTTCACCGCCGTGGCTCGTGCTTCTGTCCCGGTGGCAGTTCAACGAACAGTTTTGAAGCGATCTCTCCAACGATGCTGTTATCGTACCCATATCTGGACCTGCCATTCTTTTTCTAACTTTTGTCTCACCAACCTTTTAAGAGAAAAAACTGGTCTCATTAGACCCTCTAAACTGCCTCCTTCTCTGCTTTTTTATTAATTACGTATTATTATTATTATTATTATTAATTATTATTATTATTATTATTATTATTATTATTATTCTTATTATTATTCTTATTATTATTATTCTTATTATTATTCTTCTTATTATTATTATTCTTCTTATTATTATTCTTATTATTATTATTATTATTATTATTATTATTATTATTATTAGGGGTTCTTTCAAAAATATTACTAAAATAAAATTTATTTATACTAATATGAGTAACAATTACTACAATATATTGTCATTATCACTTTTTCTTTTTGAAAGGAGAAGACTAATTTATTACCCGTGTTACTAATGAAAATAAAAGAGACAAAGCAATACAATAACTCAAAACTACCCTGATGTGAGACATATAACTGACTAGCCCTTGAGGATTCTTCAAATTCGCTAACCTCACATCATAGTAAACTAATCTATTAGCATCGCTGAACTTGTTACTAAAATAAATAGACATAAAACTACAGTTTTTAAAATGAAAACAACGAACATAATCAAAACTACTGGTGTTTCCGGCGACTAGTAAGGGTGAAGAGGTTTTATCAGTCACCTCCAAAGATGCCATTCGGATTTTACCAGCCATCAGAAAGGGAGAAGAGGTTTGTCCAGTCACCTTCAAAGGAAGCATCCCGCTTACAATTTCTAATAGAATTCCGGGCAGTGCTGATCCTGTAGCACCTCCCCAAAACCGTTTTTTGATCCAGTTCCATCAACCTCCATACTGACCTCCAACACTTGGACTGTGGCAAGATTCCCTAACTAGCGGTGGCTCCATCTCACATAGCCCATCCAAGCAGTCACCACTGCCGACTAGCCAAAGCTAGCGGGGACAGAAACACTGAAACACCCTACAACCGAGGGGATCAAACAAAACCGCCGCATATATCGGGAAGGAAATCAGATTGACATTATCACCTATGTGAATAGCGTTGAACCATGCCAATCTTCTATTGTTCACGAATTGCGGGCAGCCTGCACACTAGGGGTTGCGATCAAAACTCAGGCCAGGGGAGAAAGTCGATTCGGTGATCAGCTGACGCCGCCGCAGCCTCAGGCCCGCAGCCGTAGCCACATCGACGGTCAAGGATTAGGGATTACAGTAAATAGTTACCATAGATAATATTGTTATATTTCATTGTTACTTAAGTATAAAAAATGAATATAAGTTACTATGATTAAATGACTACTAGAGTCACTAGTCACATTTATGTAAATCATATTATCTTTATTTTAATCATAAATATGTAAATATTTGTTATTATTATTACTTCCATTACTACTACTATTATTATCATTACTTTTACGGATATATATAGAGTAGTTTCTGGTGCGTCCGGCCGCACCAGAGAGGACGTCCGGCCGACGGCGTTTGGCCGCTTTTCCTGTAGACTTTTTCGTTGAAATTTTTATACCATGTTATTCATGAAGTCTAGTTTATTCAACAAAAAATTCAGCTAAAAAATCAAACCGGAAGGTCTTCAAATGATTTTTTGAACTTAACTGTGCAAAATTACACACAAAAAACGCAGTCAACTTCAAAAAATCATTTGAAGACCTTACGGATTTAGTTTTTAGCTGATTTTTTTGGATAAGCTAGACTTGATGAAGAACATGCCATAAAAATTTCAACAAAAAATTCCACCGAGAAGGTGACCAAACGCCGTCGGCCGGACGATCCCTCTGGTGCGGCCGGCCGCACATGAATATTACTCTCTCTCTCTCTCTCTCTATATATATATATATATATATATATATATAGATTTAGGTTCATGTGAGAATATAATCTTAGGAGAGTAAAAAAGAATAGATTTCCACCGTTGGATGATCTTCTAAATAACCGTGCGTCTAAACCCAAGTAGAGGGTAATGAAGTCAATTCATTTTGTACGTAATTAGAGTGCCTAAAATCACGCTGCATGATTCCTTCCATAACCGTCTCTCCCTGATTCTTTCCAAACCTATCATCGATCTTCCTCCTGCGTCGTTCTTCTCTCCCTCTGCGAAGGTATTGATCGAAATTAACGTATTGATCAGATTATTCAACTTGCACCGTTCTGCTATTTTTTCCATCGGTTGTGGGTTTTCTTCTGCAGCCTATCTTTCTTCAATGGAGTGCAGTAAATATCGTTTATCGTTTATTTGATTTTGCTCATTGTTTGTAGTCTCCAAGTGTTATGTTCGTGGTTGAATTTACGTGTGAATATTATTATTATTATTTTGATTGACATACTATACAAATTAGACTTGTTGAAATTGCACTAAACTAATTATTAAGTTTCCAGATTTGCGCTAACAATTAGTGCACCTACATTGTTATGTGATGCATTTACGTGTTTGATATGGAACACTTTCATGATAGCTATCGATTTGATTTTCATATAGTAATAAAGATGGTTTTATATTAAGTTTTTGATGCACTTATCATGCTTTGATCATGCACTTTCATTAGTTTTTACTATTTCACTTTTTTTTGCAGATATGATGCAGTGCCAATAAAGCAACGGTGATCCATTTGGAATAAAAAGTGCATTTTGTTTTGTAAAAATGTCAACGTAAAATGGTAGAAAGTTTGTTATAATAGTGCACTTTTGTATTATATCAAATGCACATGATATAAGTCAATTTCATTCTATAAGACGGGTGTGTCTAAAACTTTTGAAAATGTGATATAATGTTGCACTTTTGTATACATTATTTGTATCTAAGTTTTGAAAGTATGATGTAATAGTGCATATTTGTCTTATTCTAAATCCACGTAGTTGATAGTTTAACCCTTGTATATTTATATTAGTTTTTTGGCAGAAATGTATGGATGTGTCGAACTAAATGCTTGAAGTGTATATTAATGTTTTAAAAGTGCAAACTAATAACATTAGTGTAGTTTACAACACTCCAAATTAACCTAATAAACTTGTATTTCCCTGTAGGTTGAAAATATATCTAAATATGTAACTAAATTGATGTTGCAGTATGTTTCAAATAAAAGTGCAAGTATTCAATATTTAAGTGCAAATACACAAAATTAAGTAGATGAAATATTGCCTCTGAAAAGACGATAAGACGTGAAAAATGCACAATTCGAATAATTTTTTTTTATCAAATTACTCATCAGAATTATATGTGAGATAATACTAAATTTATTTTGGAAAGGAAATTAAAATAATGGAATATATAAGAGGGAGGTACGTTACTCCCTATTAATTATTGCCTACTTTTTAGGATGAATTCCTATTATAGTGCTACATACGTATTAATGCTTGAATGAAATTTACTATGATGCCCCTTATTTAATTTTCACTTGGAGAGTTGCCATATATGAGAGCCTAATGATCCGAAGCTAGTAATAATTTCGAAAAATGCTAAGCCATTAGATCAAGTTAATTAAAGGTTGGATATCATTCTTTTTTCCTCTCCTAAGAGGGTGTTCTCACAGGAACCAACCCCTATATATATATATATATATATATATATATATATATATATATATAAGTGTGTGTGTATATATACATATATATATATATACACATACATACATACATACATACATACGTATGTATACATATATATCTATATATATATATACACACATATGTATATATGCATATATATATATACACACACACACACACACACACATATGCGGGGAGGGTTGAGCTTATCAAATCTGTTATTCAAGGGGTGCATTCTTTCTGGCTACAAGCACTCCCCATACCTAAGGCAGTACTTGATAGAATTACCTCTATCTGTCGTATCTTCCTTTGGGGGTGTAAGTATGCTAGAGTTGCATGGACTGATATTTGCCTCCCCAAGGAGGAGGGTGGTCTTGGTATCCATGATACTCACATTTGGAACTCTGCTCTGATTGCTAAAACCCTTTGGGATATCCATACTAAAAAGGATAACCTTTGGGTTAGGTGGATCCATGGTGTTTTTCTTAATGGTAGAGGTGTTTGGGAGTTCACACCTCATAATAGGGACTCCCAACTTATTAAGAAGATTGCTTTGATTAGAAATCAGATTCTTTCCCACTTTGGGAATGTTAATGATGCCATCACTTTTCTTGATGGCTGCCAAATTAATGGTAAGCTGTCCTCGGCCAAGGTCTATAATCTCCTTAGAATTAAGGGGGGGACTCATATGTGGATGTCCTTTATTTGGAAGAACTACATCCCCCCCAAGTTCTCCTTCACGGCTTGGTTGGCTTTCAGAGATAGGCTTGCTACCTTTGATCATTTACATCGGCTGGATGTTGTTAATATATGCCAATTTTGTAAGGGTGGTCCGGAAACGGTGCCACACCTATTTTTTGCTTGCTCTTTTTCAGGTAAGGTTTGGCAAAGGGTGAGGAACTGGCTGGATATTCCAAGGGAGATGGGGACTTTGCTTAGCGCGTTGAAATGGATCAAGAGGATGAGGCAAGGGTCCGGCATCAAGGCTAAGGCGGCTAGGATTGCTTTCTGCTGCTCCATCTACTGGATTTGGAGGACTCGGAATGCTGCTTGTTTTGATGGTCTTGCTCCTAAAGATGAAGATGTTTTTGCCAAGATTCAGCATTTTGTTTACAAGATCCTTTACAGCATTTATCCGCATGAAAATGTAACCTTTTAGGGTGCTTTTTGTTTGCTTTCCCTTTGGTTTGGTTGGCTGTTTTCTTTGTGCTGTTTTGGTAGTGTTTTTTCTGACCCCTTGGTGCAACACCTCTCTCCTTTTGGAGGTGGCTGCGGGGTTGGGTGGCTTTTTGTGGTTGTTTTTGGTGGGGTTATCCTTGTTTGGATAACCTTAAGTTTTGTTTCTTTCCTGCTTGTACATTCTTCCCCCCCCTCTTCTCTTGGGTGTTTGGTTTATATACTTACAGTTTACCCAAAATATATGTATATTTGGGCGCAGTTATCTTCCA